TGGCGGTGTGCGGGATAGGCGGGTACAGCGGGGCGTTCCGGGGTGGGGTAGGGCGGAGCGGGTGACACGCTGTGCGGGTGAACTGTTGTTACTGCTGCTAGCTGCCGCCGCGCCGCTGCTGCCCGGCCCGGCGCTTCTGGGTCATGAAAGTAAAACCCAGCAGAGTGGAGGAGTCCCGCCATCTTGAGTGGCCATATCTCCTACTTACTGCGACGGCTCTCTCGCGGCTCTGCTGCGGCCACGGCCAGACCGGGTGTGGCTGGTGCGGGGAAGGGAAGGGAGGTGGGCCGCCGGGGTGGCTGCCCCGGAGTGACACTTGGGATCAACAGGCAAGAGAGTATAATCGATTCCATGGGGATGGCTCGGCACCGCGCGCCACCTCCTCCCCCCTTTCCAAGGAGTTTAGCTAGTTTGCAAGAGTTCGGGTGGTCCAGCAAGCAGGCGGCGCGCGGCAGGGTGCGGCGCAGGGCCGTTTGGTGCGGGGCCCCCTCCCGGCGGTACCCGTTCAAAGAGAGCGAGCAAAGGGGTTACCCAGGGTGGGGTTGCGTGCCCCGCCGTGCCACCCTCCTGCGGCAGGTCCTCGTGACGCAGGGATAACTCATCGAAGCCCCGCGACGGTACAGCCAGGCAGTCGTTGTTATTGTCTGAGGCCGCCTGGCCGCCCCGCCCCATCCACAACATGTGCCGCACTATTATTTGCACTGCGCATGTGATGTATCGCCCGGGCCGTCCCCGCCCCCACTGACATATTGCATTGCGAAGCGCAGCGGCAGAAATAAATCGCCACGGTGGAACTCGCGGCTCGCCGCACTTATAAATCGGCTTTATTAATTGGCGGCCGGAGGGGCCCGCAGGGGCCCGGAGGGGCGGGGCCGCATGCAGCGATCTCTAACAAGCCGTAAATTGGTATTAGAAATATTTCGACACGTGCGATTTTCAGGTTTGGCAGATTTATTCTCCGAATGGGAATGAATCGCTATGCCTAACTGCTGGCGCGCTGGCGGTGCTGGCGGGGCGGTCGGGCGCGCGGGGCTGGCTGCTCGGGCCGGGCGGCGCCGCCGCTACTATGCCTGCCGCGTTGTCGACAGTGATTTGTTGTCCGTCTGTATCCGCGTGTCTGCCGCGCGCCCCATTCCTGTCCGCGTAATAAATGACGAAAGGGATTTCATTTTCGTTTTGGAGCGCTGCATTTTTTAATGCTCTGCGGCGTTATAGAGAGGCGCACTGGCAGCAGATGTGTGTGTGTGTGCGTGTGTGTGTTGGGCGTGTGTGTGTGCGCGCGCTTAGTTGTGTGTGTTTGTGCGTAGTTGTGTGTGTGTTAGGGGGGGAGGGAATGTGTGAACGTGTCCGCCTTTTTGTATAGATGCTACGTCATATACGATTTTCGCACCGATGGCCACCCAAACCATCTCCCAAATAAAAGGAAAGGTTGTAAAAAACACCGAGGGGGAAAACAGGACACGATAATTCGTCAATTTCTCTGTTGTTTTTTGTTTTTGATTTTTGTTTTTGGTTTTTTAGCTTCGTATTTGATTATTGCACTGCACATACTAATGGCTCTAAGGGGCTGCAGTGAGCGCGAATGGAAAAATTATCTTGTTTCATCTCCTCTGTGCTCGCCGCCACTTGCTCGTAACTTTGTGTAATTATAAATGGTAAAGAGGACGACTTAAGGAAGGCAGGATGCATCTAATCCAATCCTCGACAGTCGAGCCCCTGCGGTTTCAAGGCTAGGCAGACCCGCAACACTCGCGAGTTCTGCGGGTCAACCTACCTCACAGGGGCTACAGCCTCAGGACGCGGCTTTTATCCGCCTTCACTCTGAGAGGCCAAGCCCCTGCGGACTCTGGACTAGGCAGACCCGCGACACGCGTGGGTCCTGCGGGTCTGCCTAGCTCACAGGGGCTACTTACGAGTACCAGCCCCTGAGAGGGCGAGCCCCTGCGGACTCTAGGCTAGGCAGACCCGCAACACGCGTGAGTCCTGCGGGTCCGCCTAGCTCACAGGGGCTACCTCCACGAGTACCAGCCCCTGAGAGGGCGAGCCCCTGCGGACTCTGGGCTAGGCAGACCCGCAACACGCGTGAGTCCTGCGGGCCCGCCTACCTCACAGGGGCTACAGCCTGAGGACACGGACCTCAAACTATGTTTCTTTTGTTGCAGTCGTGCCCACGTGCCGCTGGGAGCGCGGCGTGGTCGGCGCCATGCGCGGCGTGCCCGTCGACGTGCTGTGCGCCGTCGAGTCGGACCCGCCCGCGCGCATCTACCGCTGGAAGTTCAACAACAGCGGCGAGACGCTCGACGTACCCAGCGAGCGCTTCTCGCACAACGGCACCCACAGCGTGCTGCGCTACACGGCGCACTCGGACCACGACTACGGCACGCTGACCTGCGCGGCAGAGAACAGCGTCGGCGTGCAGCAGGAGCCGTGCGTCTTCACCGTCATCAGCGCCAGTGAGTAGCCCGTTGTTGTTTTCTGATGACCGGCGCCGATACAGTAACGGCGCTACACCCGTCACCCGATTTACTACAGCATTTTTCAGCGGCGCCGAGCGTGGACACGCCAGGCTGCTCCCCACCGTGACGGGACCTCCACTTCTCCCAGTCTCCCGATTCGATCAGTTAATATTCCCCATTCGCTACAATAACCCTTTTGTCTCGGGCGTCCCCCAACCCTCGGCCGGCCCCTTGTTCGCCCCCACCCGGTTGAGCCAAGCAGCAGACCACGCTCTCGAGCTGCCGCCTCCCTCTCCTTCCTCTTCTCCTTCCTCTGCCCGGAAGGAAGTGTAATAATTTACTTTCCAAATTCATGCTCCCCATCCTCCCCTCCCCCTCGGCCGCGCCCGTCCGTCAGCCACGCTACGGTCCGTTTGCTGATGAGGCGCGCATTGACCGAATGCTAATCGCGCTGCGGCGCGCAGCTCGGGGCAGTCTGAGCGCAGCACGAGCGCTGCACGAGCGCAGCTTGGGGCGTTACGAGAGGAGCAGCACAGAGTTAGACGCAGCAAGAGCGCAGCACGAGCGCGATTCGGGAGTTTTCGTATGCCCCAGCGCCGTCATCCGGCCCCCAATTGCCACTTTCTTCCTAGGACGTTTTCCTCCGTAGTAGACTGGGGCAAAAACTGTGCCGTGACCCGTCTGACTAAGCCTGTCCGCCCCTCCATCCCCCCTCCTTTCCCCTTCCCCTTTGACCGCCAGTGGATTCCAGGGTACGGTCCCATCTCGCACCCGTTGTTTTGACGCCCCGCTCCGCCCCCCTCCCTCCCCCACCTGGTTCGCTCCGCCATGGTTCGGAACAAATTGGTGAAATGTCCAATTGGCCCGGGTGGTATAGGTGGCGCTCAGCGCGGGACGGAGAGGTAGGGGGAAAGGGGGTGGGGGCGTCTGTGAGCGTGCCTCGAATGTGTCGCATGCCCTCTTTTGGGACGGGCTCTCATGATCGGCTTGCTCTATCAATTTCTGTTTTCCCTCTGCCGCTCCGCTCCCCGACAGCGGCTGGTTGTACTCGCGGCCCGCGCCGCGGCGGCCTGTCACTCGTAGCACCTTCCGCGAGGGATCGACAACTCCACCGCCACAATCTGTCCCTCACCATGTGGCTCACCAGCTTGGCCTAGTTCGGACATGACAGGTGAGGGAGGAGCTCGAGGCAAGGGTGCTCGGTGGCGGCCAGCATTTCCCACCAAAGAAACACAAGTGGCGCCTGCGGGGTGGGGGGTTGGGGTTGGGGTTGGCCTGGGGCTGACACACCGCGGCAAGCCCGTAAAAGAGAGAGCTGCGCCAGGAGGTTCAACCTCCGCTCACCCTGAAACAGCTGGCGGCTCAAGACAAGTATTACCCACGTTACTCGTTTCAGTTCTCTCATACACTCTACAAATATACACTCCTCCACAATACTATGATAAATTTACGTTTTTGGTTCGTAATTTTCAACTTTTACACTGATAATTTATTGCGAAGGATTTGGCTGCTTTGTAAGTCTGCAAAGGAATTTCTTCGCAATTGCGAAGGATCTTCATCGCTTTGCGAAGGAAATCGATTCGCAACTTGGTTCAAAATTATAAAGCAGCCACAATCGCGAGTTTTTTTATGGTATATAATTTAAATCAACGGCTTGTTTAAATATTTACAAAATGACTCAACGATCAATTTCGGACGTAGCGGAAGCTCACAACGGGGATTTTTGTAGTATATGTTCGCTTCACTCAGGGCTCCTTTTTTTTTTCTTTCGCCCTTTTTGTGGCTTTAAACTCGGTGCAATAACGAGTGTACTTTTTTGTAATTCGTGCACATTTTTGTTCGTAATCAATCATGTAAAAAGTACACCTCGCCCACCAGCACCCCCCCCCCCCCCATGGGTGGGGTGGGGCGCCGCCGCCGGCCGCCGCGCTGGGCTATAATTGCCCCGCCAATCTGTCGTGTGGGCGTGCCTCGCAGCGCTCGCCGCCCTCGCCGCGCTCGCAGCGCTCGCCGTGCACGCCAGGCCGTTCGGAATTAGATTAGTGAACGGTCATTTCATTAACGGGCACCAAGGGCGGACCGCAGCGCAGTGTCGTGTTTGACTCGTCGCGCTGCGGCAGCCGCTGCGAATGTCGGAACGATCCGCCGTGGCGCTCACGCCCCCCGCCGGCCCCCGCAGCAAGTTGGGCTCGACGTGGACGTTGTGCCCCCAGCGGCGCGAGTCAGACTGTTGTGGCGCGCGCCGCTCACACACCAGTGTTTGTGTTTTGGCGGCGATCGGCAGGCCGGGCGTCTGTTTGGACGATCCGTGAGGCCTGGGGCGTGGTGGTGCCGGGCGGGGCGAGGTGGCCGGCGGCTAATCAGGACAAACAGCTGACCTCACCATTACGCCTCCTTAAAGTGCACCCCCCCCCCTCCTCCCCCCGCTCGCGGCCGAAGCGCGGCGCCGCCGACCCGTCGTAAAAGTTATCTATTTATCTCGGTACACGCCGCTCTGGCGGCCAGGTGCGCTGGCGCCGCCCCGCCCGGGGCGCAGCCGCCGCAACCGAGCGAGCGGAAAATGTGGGGGATGAAAAAAAGGATTAGTGTGGAAAAAAGAGGAGCTGCACGGGAAAAGCCAGGGCTTGGTTTTCAAGCAGTTATTTCGCACGTCAAGCAGGACTGGCCGGGGGGAAATCCGTTGCTTACTAACTTGTACATCGTAGCGTCGTTATGCGAGCGTAAGAATGCCGTAGTCAAGGTTAGATAGCAGCCTAACAAACGCAATGACATTTGTTAAATGTTATAAGTAATGCATAAACAGGGTTTTCTAAATTTTCCTCTAGAGCGATTTGCCTCTCTCAGCAGACGAGCAGTTCCCATTTACTAAGCATTCCTTTCTGCAAGGTTTTTCCAAGACTTCCACATAGACAGCGGCACGTTATCCTTCAGAAATACCTACCTTCTGCTTTAAATCTAACACTTCACTGTTAAAAATATTTTATTACATATTCATTTTACGTGGTAAAGCTATTACCATTTCAAAAATGTAATGAAAATCCTTTCACAAAAAGTAATGAAAGTGTAATGAAATGTTTTTAACAGCGTTTTGCTTGGTTTTGGTGCGCGAAATAACTGCTGTTAAACCAAGCAGCGGCTTTTACCGTGTGGCCAGTGGAAAGCCAAGCAGCAGGCGTTATTGGGGTCGAGGCTCACATGGGCCTAACGCAAGGGCGGGGCGGGGTGGGGCGGCCGGGCATTAGGAGAGGCTGTTCGACGCCGCAGCGGGAGATAGATGGCCAGGAGTCGCGTGGCAAAAACGATCCCCGGCTCACTCCTCTGGCTTGCTCCGGCCGGCCTGTCCGCTCTGCTTGGCGCCCGACCCTTTGGGTCAGCTGGGGTGGGGTGGACGGGACAAGTGATTCCCTCTCTGGCGGACTAGCCTCTCTTCCTGTTTGGAAGTGGCCGGCCATGCCTGCGGCAGTAGGGGCTGCGCCGGAGTTGACCCAGTGAGAGCTGCATCCCCACCCGATCCCTCCGCACGCCTCGTGATCCAGCGGAGGTTCGATGCGGATCGCCTTCCGCTGCGCCGGGGCCACGCCCCGCCACGCCCCGCCACGCCCCGCCACGCCCCGCCACGCCCCGCCACGCTCCACCACGCTACGCCACGCCTAGCCCGGACGTGCAGCCGGGTGGCATGGCACACAGCTGCTGGGCAGCGTACGTAGCTGCACCCATCCCTCTCGTAGCGGACCGACCCGACCGATTGCAGCCCTCAATAATGAAGATAAACGCTGGGGCCCAGTGGACCAAACGGTGTAGGGCGGCGGGGCGTGGCGGGGCGAGGCTGCGATACGGTGACCCCGAGGGGGCATCAGGCCCCGTGTGAAGTGGGGCTCCCGCCCTGATGAATGTGCGCAGGACTCGGCGGGCCAGGCTGGGCGCCGGGGTCCTGAGGTAGCATTCGGAAAATGGTTTCTTTGATTCGAGGGAATTCAGTTGGAAATTTGACTCACGGGGAATGCGAACCCTATTACTCCACTGGTGATTCAAAGCGTTTCGCCTCCGGTCTGCCTGTGTCTGTCCATCGGCACGAATAAGAATATTAAGTAGACGGTGAACTAAGAGCAAGAACCTAGGCAAGAACCTCTTTGAAAATACACCAAAAACAAATTGTCAATGGCTATTGGGAGCCGAAGGCCCCTTCCTCTTTGAATCTGATTTTGCCTGCTGACCGACTTGTGTGCCAGGTGCGTGATTCGTAAGGTATAGCAAAGCATACGCGGGACTTGATTTGGCGTTTATCTACCCAGTTTTATCACCATAGAAAGTGAATGTTTCGTTAAAAATGTGTTTGCTTTTTCACGCAATGAATCAAAGCAATTATCATTGAAAATTCGTTTGATGTGATGGATGGCTTTTTCGATGGAGAGTGTACCCTATTTGAACCAAAGGAACCATTTTATGAGTGAGAGGAAACTATTGCAAAATAATGCAACTCTGTCACGTCACATGTGAAGAATTTTTTCTTGCGTCCAAGATTTTGACATTAACTTTCATGACCAAAGTGTTTTCATGCAGAGTAATTGCTGGTCGAGCGAAGCTCGTAGCGAGAAAATATTTGCTATATTTTACGTAACGCTTGGTGCTACAGTTTAAGCAAAGATAATTGTCATTACAATAAGAACACTCATCTACGAATAAGAACATTGTTGTTTAAATGTGTGGATGCATGTGCTCACATGACTGTTTTACGTTTAATGTGCTTTGAATCATTTGAAGTAGTGTAAGTCTCTGGGCAGATACAAAATCACTATTTAAGTGGGGTTACGAGTGTTAGTTATGCACCTTTTTTACTTTAAATACTTACGTATGGACAGATTTTGCTGCTCTGACACCTTGATCCGTAAAGAGCTTCGGCTGCTTACTTTCTTCTCTGCGAAGCTCGTAGAACCGGGGTATGAGTTGTTAGGCGTGAGTGAGTGACCGAGCCGCAGCCGCTGCAGCCCGTGTGCCGC